AGTGTTGACTTGAAACTGAAGAAGTACACTGACAAATTTGAAATTTTTTAATGTAAAAAGTTCATGTTTTACTATCTTTTTTCTAAAACTTGGTTCCTCTGCCCGACTTGGTGCCATTTCGTTGTGGCTGCTTGTCTGACTGCAGTGGGTTCAAAACAGATTACAACTAGTTTGATTGTCATCTTGCATTCCAATGGAATATAAGAAATGGTCGTTTCAAGCTCACAAAGGCAGCTGCAGTCCTCTCTTATTATTATTATGAGCCCGGCTTCGCGAAGCGGGAGTCATATTGTTTTCGTACATTTTTTTTTCAGTAATTTTTGGTCAACCGCAGCACAAAAACAGCTACACCGATCAACATGAAATTAGTCAGGACTGTAGATGAGTCTGACCTACACTGATCCAGCCAACAGTTTTATGATGGACCCCATATTTGAGGAGGGGGCTTCTTTCAAAGAGGGGGGTGTCAGGAAATGCAAAAATGCTTATAACTCAGAAACTGTTCAACATAGGAGCTTCAGATTTCTTTGTTGTTTAGCTCTGATGAAGCTCTATCCATCAAGTCAACCAAAGCTCTCCCCCCACAACCCAAAAATAAAAAAAATAAAAAAAGACCCCCATCCCAACCACTACAATTTTGGGATGCACCTAGTAGCATGACATTTATTAGGAATAAAGACTTCTGTGTTCTGGTGCATTTGTGTGTGCGGGGGTCATAACACAGCAAAAACAAGAGTGTTAAAATTTCAGTGTTAAACTTTTGGGTGTTGATTTAACACCCCCTAGTGTTATTTTAACACTTTCTGAGTACACTCACACCTAGTGTTGGTGTTAATTCACAGTGTTGATTTCCTCAGTGTTGTCTCAACACTGGACAGTGGCTCCGCCCACTGTTAAGTCTTATAAAACACGTAACAGTGTAGCTATATAACACCATACAGTGTTGAAAGAAGTTTTCTGAAAAGCCCCGCCCTCTTCCACCTCATGTCAGACAGACCAGCATTTACCCAGCATTCTTTGCTGAGAAATCTTGCAGAAATGATGTTTTTGCATGTTTATGACCATTAAAGACATTCATGAGAGTAAAAATTAGTTGTTCTGGTTAGTTTTCTTTTTCACTTTGATCAAGTTGTTCAACTTTAATTTTATGTTATTGGCCAAAAATCGACACCATGAGTGAGAGGTACTTCCTGGTGTGTGAAGAACGGTGACTCCATTATACTTTACCATTGAGTGTTGATCCAGCACTCCAAAGAGTTTGATATTAACACTGTTAAATTTACACTCTCAATTTAATTGTGTATTGATACCTTGTGGTGTCTGTTAACCTTTCAAACACTACAATTTCCTTTGTTAATATTAATCCACTGGTGATACTTTTAACACTGTATTTTAACACTGTTGAAATGACACCCAGTATAGTTGAACATTAAACATTGGATGGTGTTACATTTAACACTATATTTCAACACTAACACTATTTTTATGTTAATGTGACACCAAGAATTGTTGAATATTAAACACTGGTTGGTGTTAAATTAACAAAAAAATGAGTGTTAAATTTTAACACTTTCATAAATATTATTTTGACCAGCGAGTGTGGACACATATAGACACTTTGTTGGTGTTAAAATTAACACTGTGGGTGTTAAATTAACACAGTGGGTGTTAAATTATCACTGGCATTTTTGCTGTATATGTTATCACTATGTGGTATCTAGTTGACAATTCTGCTTGTTTACCAAGTCTGTTTCCAAGACGTCAAACTATGAAGATATGATACCAGTATCGTATCGGGTCCGATACCAGCATCAAGTACTCATACTCTTACTCGTAAAAGCCGTCCGATACTCTTATCCGATACCGCTTTTGTCCCCTCCTGGCTGCGCTGCAGCACAAAGAGTAAACAACAATCCATACCAGGCGGTGGCGCTAACGCACTGACAAGATATTTCCGACCGCACCCCCAAATAACAAGAGTAACGATGACGGTACACAGTAAAAAACAAAGTGTCTAATTAACACCTAGAGAGTCGAATTTAACTCTGTTTCATAAAATATTTGGTCCCACACAAAATTAGAGTAAAATTTACTCTTAAGCGAGTGTCAACTTTTCAGAGTTAATTTTACTCATTTTAGTGTCAAAATCAACAATGAAATTAGTAAAATTAATTAACACTATATTTCGTTCACACTGCTTAGTGTAATAAGTGTTAATTTTATGGAGTTAATTTTGCTCATTTTAGTGTCAAAATCAACAATGAAATTAGTCAAATTATTTAACACTTATTTCTTCACACTGCTTAGAGTAATAGGGTTTTTCTTAATGGAGTTAATTTACTTAAGTACACTATATTGAGTACCAGTAATATTCTTTCTCTAGTGTAATTTAACATCTAAACCATTAAACTGTATTATGCTGAATTGATTTTATAAAATCTACCAAATCAAAATGATCACAAAGTTAAAAGTTTGCAGTAACAACATTTATTTGATTTGTTTATTTAACAGGAAAAGATTATTAAAAATCAAGCCTGACTCAGCATTATTGCTGTCTTACATTTACTTTATTAAACATTGTTGTAATTGCATTAACATCTTTAGAACACAACACAATGTTCACCAAAGAAAACAATATGGGACCACAAAAAGAGTTGCATCATTTGCTTCTTACGACATCTGTATGTACAAGGGTCTAGGATAACACAGYTGGTTGACATCAAACACAACAAAGCTCTGTGTTGTCCTTTTAACTTCATAAGCATGAAAATGTTCACGAAACATTACTGTACATAAAGGCAACGTGAGCAGCAACAGTTTCTCCTTAAATATGAAAACTGACTCAAKCTGGTAAAACAGAGGCACTTCAGATTCAACTTTGCCACAAACAACTAGATGAGGACGATAAATAAACCCACTGTGTTTASCCCAGTTCACTTTCATAACTTGAACATCACTGGACACTTGCATGACCATAGAAATTTCCGACCCTCCTTTTACCATGTTCAAAGACACCATTTTCCCTGGTCCAATATCCAACCGATTAAAAGTGGATGAAGCTTGCCAAATRTATGCCATGTGATTTTGATGTTTGTTGGCTAGTGTTTTGGTAACATTTTTAAATGACTTTAGCTGTTTCTTAAAAAATGTGCTTGCCTTCATAGCGCATACACCAGCTATGAAGTACAGTTCCAATTTTCTGAATGCACCGAGGATAATGAATGAGGAAATGGTGCTTTGGTAAAAGTTTTTTTTTCTGTGGATACAACTTTTTAAACAATTTGTGGTGATCCACAATCAAATGTTTTAAATATACACACAGACCTTGGGATAACATTGGAGAAAGTACAATGTTTACTATCTGTAATAGTAAGAGGAGGAGGTCCCAGTGTGGATTGGAAGAGDTTACCAGATCTCCAAAGATGAGAGGAACATTCTTTAACAAGCACCATGATTGGACTACATTTAGTCTAAGATCATTAGATTCTCCACATAAATTCACAGCCACTGGCCTGTTGTTCCTCTCCATGAATCCATAGTCAAAATTTAATATTCTCAAATTCAGCTCCCCCAATGTGACATGTTGCTCTTTCAAATACTCAAACAAAAGCTTCAACTCGTACTGGGCAATACCTTCAAAAACGTCGTGCATCACATCAACTGAGAAGTTTTCAGCTGAGTGAAAATACATCAGTGAATTTAAAACACGTGAACTCTTCACACCAAAAACATAAGGAAGAGAGGGATTACACACCATTTGTTCACAATGCAAAGTGTGCATTTCTTTGGTGCGTAGCACTAATTTTTGAAGAATTTTCTGAGAATTCTGTTTGGAAGTCAWCTTTCTCAGCTAAACAGAACCGACAACAGTACCTAGCACTAAAAGATTCAACCACTGCCACAAACATGGCCAGCATTCAGTGGAATGAAAATCCCATCAGTTTCCAACACTTTAATATCTCTAACAATAGGCAAAAGGATTGCACTAAAACCGTGCCATTTAAGATCTTGTACATGAAACAAGGCACAGAGGTGTATGTTAGCCAAAAGAGAATTCCATTTTGGAGAAACATTTCGTAATGTAAAGTAAATTGCACCCAATTTGTGAATACCTCGCTTTGAGCCTAAAGGATTTGCGACTTCAAAATCGTCAAAACATTTGAATCTTCACTGAGTGTTTTTCAGTTGAAAACAGAGGATGACCCTTTAAAAGGACCCATCAGAAATGTCTCTAAGTCTTGAGTCATCAACAGCTGAGTTTTGTAACATTTCTGTTGAATGTGGATTTTTAAATATTGACTCCAAAGTAGATAAAATTGGAAMATACATGAATTTGTCTTGAACTACAATCTGATCATACGTTCCAGTCTTTTTATTTCTCCTTGTGTCAAATCGTGATCCAATTACACATTCAATTGGTTTTACAGTTTCACACTTGTCTGAGAAAAATTTGGATCTTTTGTATTCTGAATTAAGAATTGTGATTCAGAATACAAAAGATCCATGTTTTGAAATTTTCAAAACATGCTTCAACTTTATTGCAGACTGTATTGTCTTTTTGGTTGCTAAATGCATGCATTATGATGGTTTCTTTAGTGTGTTGATGGATGTCGTTTACAATCTCTTCCATGGAAATCACTACAGAATTCACTACACTTTGACTAACACCTGMAGCTTTTAAATCAGAAATTACTGAAGCACAACTATTTACAAGGTCTGCTGAAGATAAATCTGAGTCACCCTCAGAAGATTCAGTCACTGTTTCAACATTAATGGCATTACTTGTGTCAAGAAGATCTGTGCGCAGTGAAACCTGACCTTCTTCCACACATTCCAATGAAACATTAACATGACCCTTGTTAAGATGCTTTCTAARGCCAGAAAAGCTACCAAAAGAACGTGGGCATCCCACTTGACCACATTTAAGATGAAGAGTTCTGCCAGTACAGATACCATGGATTACTTTAAGGTGATTTACAAGYTTGTTTGGTGTACCAAGGTCACCTATGCAGATAGAACACCTCATTGTTTAATCTCAATGCATCATTCTTACTCGCAACTCTGGCAGTTTCCTTTGCTTCCCCAACATCAATATTGTAAACAGTTGTTTGGAGAAAGGTAAAAAAGTTGGTCAAAGAAGAACTGTACGATGTACCAAAGACATAATGGGCCTTAAAGAGCTCATCAAGAGCACCCACTGAACATGTTGCCTTGCATGGGATAGCATGCTTATCGATCACAATAAAGAAAGCATGAATGCTGCTTCGGATGGAACCCTGAGCAAGGAGGTAGGGCTGAGTCTGTTGGGTGATATTATCTAGATGCTGCTGTACACTGGTTCCAGCCTACAAAAGCAAAAAACAAAACAAAACAAAGTATTTAGTGACCCAATTTTTGAATGAATATCAGGCAGAATCAAATGTTGAATTGTAAATGAGAAATGATGAAAAGTTTTAATTTTTAACAGATGTTTAGCCTACGTTAAGAAATCTGATGAGGTGATCCACCACTTGAGATGCAGATATTTTCCCAGCCTCTTTCATCCTTGTGCAGATGGTGGAAGCAGGTGYAGCAGCAGCAAGATAGCAGACATGTCACTATCCCAGCCTACAGACCAATAAACATCAGGTTACCATCATCCTACAAACATCAACTTCTCACAGTTAGCTATAGGACAAAATACCATTTTCAACTTCATCAGCCATCTCAGCGCTCTGCAATAAATCCAAGAGCTCTGTGGTGGGTCCAAGTCCATGGCTTTCCTTTATAACCTTTGCTTTAAAACTGGTGGGCCACTTCTCCAAAAATTTGTTGGCAATGATCTCGTCAAACAGGAGTCTGAAATCTTGTTCTATCTGGAATGGATTTCAAGCAATGGTAAGAGGCAATGAATGTTACATAGGATATTTCAGTAATTTAGCAAATAAAGATGTTTTACCAGTCCTGGTGTGTCCAGAAATCGTGGAAAGAGAGAGAAGACATCTGTTGCTTTGTTTTCATCATTGACCATGGAATGGCGATAATGGAAGGTGGCCTTCATCTTCTCACGGACAGTCTCATAATCAGCAGAGTGTTTCAAAACAGCAATGGCTGCTTCCAYTTCCTCATCAGACAACACTTTTTCAACATTTAAAGCTCTGGACTGACCATGGCCAGGACCAACACCTTAAAAAGAAAAACTTGTTATTGACTCTTGACCACACATCATCACACCACACTGCACCACACTGCATCAATTTAACACAATGAGAAAACTTACTTTTGGGAGATCTGCTAACAGAGGGACCTCTTTCCTCAGCAGTCCTTCTTTGAATGGTCTTTAAACGCCAGGCAAGATWTCCTGAACCACTCTCAGGATCATAGTAATGCTCCTACACAGTCAAATACAAGAAAACAGACTATTCCATGTGCATGCCCAAATGTAATTTTACATTCTTAGTGTTGTGTCAACCAATTTACTTACATATCCGTGTTTTGAAAATGGGTCTTCCAGACATGGAAAAAGGGGCATACTTAATTCTGACGCTTTTAGGGGGGGATGTCCTGATGTATGATTAAACAATAAGTTAATAAACTCACACTAGATAGCAAGATTAAAAACAATTCAAAGCTAAAAATGTTTCTTTATAGCCTATATGTATGATTCTTACCCATGCACTTCTGTCATTGTAGCTGTAAGGATGTTGATCATCTGTCTTCTGGTTGCATCTGTCAGAGATTTAGTTCTTGCATACTCTTGTAGAATACGCTGACCGCCTGGCTTTGTTGTCAAGATATTTTCAATCAACTTAAATTTTGAAGAAAAAACATATGCACTGTTAGAAACTTTAGAAATATATGTAAGACTGGAAAATTACAAAAACAATGCCAAATTAAATGTAATAACTTTCAGGTTGGATGTAACAACAATGTTATCTACCCACCGCTTGTGCCTCATAATTAATGTGGCATGGTCTTTTAGGTTGACTTCCTTCAGAAGTGGCTTCATCTTCTGATGGGTTATATGTTGTTAAGTTTAGATTGATAGTATCATCAGATGTGGTTGAAGATGAAAGTGGTGACAGAGTAGCATCTGTAAAGAAAAAAAGGGCACGTTTAGGAGAACTCTAATGCTACCACAACAACTTTTAAATTAAATATAAATGCACCTGTGAATTGTGCAGGTTCTTCATTGCTCAAAGTGACTTTGAAAGTTCCAGGTGACTGTTTCACTATTTCTTCAAAAACATCAATGTCAACCTCTGTGTCAGACTGGTCATACACCTTMAGATCTTGCTGTCTGCTTTCTGGTATGTTAAATTTTAGGCACACTGAAGTAAAAAAAATACATAATTATAAGTCTGAATGTTCGAAAACCAACACATTTACTGCTGATTAGAAACAAAGGGTGAACTTTGTAGAATAATTCAACAATTTTTACAAAATGCTAATGAACTGAAGCTTAATCAAGTGTCATTTTTGTCCATTTTAATGCACTGCTGTGCATTAAAATGTATGCCTTAATACAGGATGTTTATTTTTGAGCATGTAAAAGGTTGTGGTATTCTTTTACTTTTAACTAACCTTCTCTCAAGAAGGCACCAAAGGTTAGGTCAGGCAGTCTGATGTACTTCTGCTCCCCACAGTACAGAACACGCAACAGCATGGTCTGTTAAAATAAGAACAAACTGTGAGTGACATCATAATTAAAGTCATTAATATGAGAGTATGAGGTAACCTCATAAAGCAGGGGTGTCCAAACATTTTATCACTGGGCCAAAATCATAAAGTCAGAAGGACTTGAGGGACAAAAATATTTTTCCTTTACCTGCTCAACAATAAACTAAACATTGAATACTTTTATTAAACAAATAAAGTAGTCAGATTTATTGCTGGAAATGGATGTGTAAATTAATCTAGATCCAGAACTTTAAAAGTGTTTTGCAGGGTTCCCTTACTGAAAAAAGTTTTGCAATTTTCTAGGTTTCAATTGGGGGGAAAATAACCCAATTTAGTCAATTCTGATCAATAAAATCAGGATTTAGGTCACTCTTTTGTTGAAAATGCTACTTGTGTTCAGATGAATTTAATAAATTAATTAAAAGCAGATTGGAATCAGATTCTGAGTAGAAGTCACTAGATAAATGTGGAAAAAGTTAAGAGCCTGTTTATTTAAAGAAAAATAATTGGTATTGTTGCCAATATTTTTTATTATAAGATTTTACTTTGTGATWAATTTGCCCTAATAATATGTTTAAAGGCTTCATCTATATCAAACACCTGTGCTGGGGGGACAAATTTGTAAACAAATTTGCATAATTCTTGAGCTGAATTCAGGGGCCACACAAAATCAGTTTAGGGGCCACAAATGGCCCCAGGGCCACACTTTGGACACCCCTGCCATAAAGTCTTGAGTCATGAGGTTACAATATGAGGTTCTCATTTGGTACGTGAGAATACAAATTGAAAAGCCTAATTTATGCAACCAGTTAAAAGAAAAAGGGTCTTCACTGCTTTTATTTAGAACAGCAAAAACTGACACTGAGGTGATACAGAGTGCTGACCTGTATTAATGTTATTCAGCAGCCGGGGTGTTGATTATTCAGTGTCTAAAGCAGTGGTTTGCTACTCTGTAAATGCTGAA